CAGTGTCTACAACTTCATCGCGAAGCAAAGCTTCTTCAGCTGTTCCCACTTCTGAATCCTCTGGAAATAAAAAACCACGTTTTGATACATAAAAAGCGCGCTGTCCTAGAGTGTTTTGTCTCCGAAATCATCAGAACATTACTTCGAGCTATTACTTGCAAAAAAAAAGTGCGGAGAAGGAGAAAGATGTATAAATCAGCCTTACCTAGATCACCAGCTACTATTTTAGCGTAGCGCGTTTGTTTGAACTTCTCTCTTCTTTTCTTCTCCAAAGCTCGCTCCAGCTCCTCCTCGATAGGAATGATCTGTAGTCACTGTATTTGACGCAGAGAATCTCAGGCAAGCGTCATACTTATCCGGTCCAAACGATCCGGTTCACCCATTCTATAGGTCAAATCACGTAACTGACCAATAGCGAATAGGTGAACGGATGAATCACTTGAACCTGATAAATATGCCGCCTACTTCATGAAGATACCACAGAAATCAAATTATTACAAGTGAGAATCTATCATAAAATCACCTCTTTTTCCATTCTGGCAGCCATTTCTGCTTCCTTGGCTAACTGCTCTTCACGCGCCTTCCTCCTGGCCTCCCGGAATGCCGGAGGATCTTCGCAGTGCTCCTAAATCATCAACAAGATTTGATGCACAGCTAGATGAGATTAAAACTTTACCAAGTCAATGGTGGAAAACTCGTCAATAGTGAGCATGCCAGATGGGGTCTGACTGAATTCTTCCAACCTTTTCCTCACTACGGTTTCACTAATATGCACTACTTTCACCACATCGCCAATAGTTCGGTTGAAATTGAATGATCTGAAGCAGATATGTGGACAGCAATCAACAATTGTGTGTTAAGCTACCTTGCCGCAAGCAGCAGGGCTGCACCACAAAGACCCGTTGGTCGACGTCCAGTAGACATCCAGTCGCGCTTCATACGCTGCACTAATCGCGTGGCCAGGTTAACCACCTCAAAAAATGCAATTTCTCCACCGACTTGAAGGCAGCGTCCGAGCAAAAAAATCGATTTTGAGATTTTGTGTTTACCTGGGCCTGTTCGGTATGCTGAATTCGAAAATCCACACTGAAGAGCGCGGAAAGGCGAAAAAAGGGCCCTAAGGGAGAAGGGAAACCAGCAAGTGCGCGGGGTTTCCACACTGCGAATTGTCCACATTTGACCGGTGGCGATGTCAGGGCGCCCAGCGGAATTGAGAAGATAGCTCCAGAAGCTGGGAACATGAGTATGCAGTGGGAAAAACTCCGCCAACTTGCTGATTTTCCCCCTCCGTTCAAGGCAGCGCCCCCTTAAACTGGTGGGTTCTAGAATTTGACAACCTTGTGATGGCGGACCTTCCAACTAATCTATCAGTGAAGT